GATGTCGCCGCGTACGATCGGGACAACGTGCTCTGCTATCTCGATGAACATTCTCCAGTCCGGGAATTGCGTACTTAGATGATTGAGCTTCTCATTCAGCTCTTCATCCGCGAGCTCTTCTTGCGAAAGTATCGGTACGTGCTCAAGGTGTAGCTTGAGCCACGACAGGTATTTCTTCATATGTGTTGGTGCTGTAGACCAGTCCGTGTCTTCCAGCCGGCCGAGGTTGCGGTGAACAACAGCGCGAATCGTCTGCTCAAGTTCGAGGATGAATTGGACGTGCATTGATTCATCATCCACGAAGTTATCAGCTTCGCAATACGCCTGGAGCTGGCTTGGCTTCATGAGCGATAGCTGCGGCTTCCAGTCAAAGCCATGTAGCAGCTTCCTTTCCACTTCGCTCTTCGTTTCAGCGCCGAGCACTGGCGACATCTCTAGGCGCGATACATGGCAAAGCGGTGAGCCGTCATCTGCGAGCGCTGTAAAAGAGCTCTCGATGCCTTTGATCGTCTTCTTGAATCTTGACGTTGTGAGCATTCTGATGTGGTGAGTTTGAGGGTATTGCCATCCGGATGCTGATATCCAGGTGTCATAAACTTTGTGAGGAATAATCGTCGGTAGCTTGTCTGACATGCCAGTAGACGGAGCAGTAAAGCAGACTTGGCAAGCTGCATCAAGTACTGCTGGGTGCACCACCCCTTCATAAGAGTGTATGGGCGCACTGACGTCGACGCGGGCAATACCGAGCTCGTCACCATCCCAAAAGATGTTGTCTGCCAATGCAAACGCTTCGCCGTATTTGAGACCTTGTTTCTTGTGCCAGTCATAGAAGTCCGTCTTGCTTATAGGAAGCTTGCATTGTTCTTCCGCGGCGAGGTAGCTATCGAGCAATGCCTTAGCATGAGCTCTGGCTTCAAGACCACAGTCTACTTCGGTGGCAGTCTCTTCGTAGTCTACATGCACTTGAGCTCGGACACACTCGATCCACTCGCTGTCTGATCGAGCGAAAATACGAACTTCTGAACGTGTCGACGTCTTCTCGTAGTCCTGACGAAGCGGGCGTAGCTGAGTGACCACTTCTGTCTTGCTATTAGGCTCAGAGCTAACGACAATGGGATTCATGAATGTTGCTTCCTTGATATTGTAGCCCAAGATGACTTGGTCGGTTTGAAAGTGCTGTTTTACGGCTTCTAAAGCCATCATGATCATCCCGGTGGCTGGGAAAAGCGCCTGGTCACCTACGACGTGGTCTGCAAGCCAAGGAGTCTCTTCTAGACTAAGCATCTTTCGCCATCGCGGCTCGGAAGGATTCCAGTCCGTAGCACATATGCCGAGAACGCTTCTTGGTGCGTTGTTGCGCATCCGCCAGTCTCGGCTAAGTCTAGTCTCGTGCCAGTATGTCTGCGAACGATCGAAAGGATACTCAGGCAAGTCAACCAGGATCTGCAGGCGTCCCTTTTGAGCATCTTGTAGGTTCGCCGCATCGATTGACGGAGCATATCCATACGTAAACAAGCACCCGATTGTCCTTAGGGTCGATCTGAGAGAAGAATCGAATTTCGACAACAAAGACATGTACCTAGCTTGCTTCTTGGTCGCATATTGGCCCAGTGTTTCGGTGGTAGGTCTCTTCAGTGCTGCGTGGGGTCCGATTTCGACATAATCATGTATAGTGTGATTGCGATCGAGCTTCGGTGCTGTCACGGCAAGGTATCGCAGGGCGTCCGCAAATCTGACGGGAGATACAAGATTATCGACCCAGTAAGTGCCTGTGGTCAAGGCATCGGTACCGACTACTGTACCCGTTACAGAGGAAACCATGAAGATCGAAGTTTGTTGCTCTCCTCGTTCGAGTAGACCCATCGACGAATAATACTCCGCGGAGATATCACCCATAGCGGGAGAGTGGTAAGCTACGCCCGTTCTCAGTTTCTGCGCGAATATGCCGTCTTCACCCAGCAAATTTTCCAAGGTATCGATGCCGGTCTCATCGCCAGATAGTGTTACGTTGAAAGGGCTGTTGACGCAAGCAACGTGGATATCTCCTGAGAGAGAAGCCTTGGCCAGGTATGCTGAAACGCCACTTTCGGGGAGATTGACTGACATCATGGCTCTGGGAAGAGGTAAAGATTCCATAAGCTGGTTGGCCAGTCTTCCTCTATGGTAAGCGACTTTACATGCGGACTCAAGTGACAAAGCACCGATACAGTACGCCGCGGCGATCTCGCCAGACGAGTGGCCAACTACTGCAAGTGGCGCAATACTGAAGCTTCTTAGTAGTTCCACAAGCGCTATCTGGAGAGCAGTGCAGAGGGGCTGGCTGAAACGGGGCTGATTGATGTTGTTCCCGTGCTCCATCTCGTCTAGTCAAGAGTCAGCTTGGCCGTCAAAATAAAGGCAGTCGATTGTCTTACCCAGTAGTGACCACGGTGCGCCCAATGAGCGAAAGACATGCCCGATTCTAATCAAAGTTGACTTAAATATGGGAAATTTGAGCAGTTCCCAGCCCATTCGAGCGTACTGTGCACCTTGGCCAGTGAATATCCATGCCATGCCGGCCTCTCGAGCTGAACGTATCAGGGTGGAGGTAGCAGCGTTGATGGCCGTGGATTTCTCGCTGGAATCAACGACTGCAAACGCCCTCCACGTCATGACACTCCTACGAGATGACAGAGTGTACGCGAGGCGACGCAGTCTTTCTTCGTGTCCTGATACGCGCTTGTCGAAGTAGTCTGTATACTGCTGCAGTACGAGTCGTAACGCAGCTTCGTCCCTTGCAGACCAGACGAGTAGCTGAACATACCCCTCCGGTGCCGTGATACTCTGAGTGGTACTCTCGGTTGTCGAGCCATTCAAATGAGCAGGATCAGCGGTCACTGCATACTCACTGACATGGCCGTTACCGTTCGTGCCATTCATGTTTCCATTTGGAACATTGCCAGTCATTTGTGCCTTTCGCAGAGTTGAGGCAACCAATGTATTGTGGAAGCTTTGTAAGTTCATGGACTCAAGAGTGTGATATGCATCGTCCAGTATGACGTGTCCATTGGAACCGCCGAATCCGAATGAGTTGACTGAGATGCGACGCAGCCCGTTAGTCGGCCATGGGATGCATTTCGTGGGTACCTCAACATTGTAGATTTTGGCGTTGATCTTTGGACTGATCTTCTCAAAGAGTGCGCTCGGTGGTATGACGCCCATTTCCAATATCATGATAGACTTGAGAATCCCAGCTAGTCCGCTACAGCCTTCGAGATGGCCTATGTTGGATTTGACCGATCCGACATATAGCGGGTGTTTTTGTGATCGGCTGGCCCGGAAGGTCCTGCCTATCGCCTTCATCTCCGTGGCATCTCCGAGCTGAGTACCAGTTCCATGAGCTTCAACGTATCGCGTAGACTCAAATCCCAAGTTGCAGCTCTTATAAACGTGTCTTATCAGCTGCTCTTGCGATTCCGCGCTGGGCTGCGTAATGCCTGGTGTGCGTCCATCCTGATTTGAGCCAGTCGCTCGAACTACGGCACGTATGACATCTGAATCTCGGATGGCATCCGAAAGCCTCTTGAGTACCAGCACTACCGCACCTTCCCCGCGGGCGTAGCCATTAGCACGGTGATCGAAGCTGTAGGAGACGCCGTCTGGTGAGAGCATTTGCATGTTCGATAGGTAGAGTGAGATTTCGACGCTGAGGAGGACGTTCGCTCCAGCAAGAAGAGCCTAGCGCGTGCGTGTCAGTATTCTTGCGGTGCTCCAGTTGCTAGAGATAGCATTACCATCGAGCTCTGACCGCTGCGAAGCGACTGACAAGCCAAATCCATCGCAATCATGCTTGTCGAGCATGCCGTGTTCAATTGGATGCTAGGCCCTTTGAAGTCGAAGTACCAGCTGAGCCTATTGGCTAGGATAGAAGGCGAGGTACCAGTCGCGGTATTGGTCGGTGCTTCGTCGGGGTCTCTGGCCAAGATTCTGCTATAGTCATCGGACATGGAAGCAGCGAACACTGCCGTTTGTGACCCAGCAAGGGTTTCTGGAGGAATTCCAGCTGCAACAGATTAGACTTCGCCGACAATACTGGCGATGCAGAGCTTGGGTAGCACTCACCATTCTCCAATGCTTTGTATGAAGTTTCCAGTAGCCATCTCTGCTGAGGGTCCATTGATGCGGCCTCTTTAGAGGTTATGGAGAAGAAGGCTGCATCAAAGGCGGCAGGATCTTCTTTGACAAAGTGAGCATTCGTGGAGTATACCTATTAAACTCTGTTAGCATCGGCTGCTCTCTTGACGCTTCGTGAATGTATCTTACCGTATTATCCATCGCTACGTTGGAGCTGTAGAACGCATCGATGTTACCTCGGGACTTAGGCCACGGACGACTGAGGCTTCTGCCCCTCTCAAGATTATCCCAGAAGCCATGGTCCTCATTGTCACCTTCCGGTAGCTTGTACGACAACCCGACGATGGCAATGGGCTCCATGGCTGTGAGGCTTCGGCGTAAGTTCACGGTGTTCAGTCACTGTTCAAGTGTGGTGCTGATTCAGTTACACCAGAACATATCGGAAGAGAAAACGCATAAAGATGGTCATGCTATTTCGAGCTTTCCCAGGTATGATGATCTTGACGTATGCTGGGGTGCGAGGTGATTGGCCGTTGCAACCGATGGTATGGCTATTGGTGGTAAGCCATTACAGCCTGTGGCCCCCAAGGCAGACCTACAGGAAGCGTCAAAACCCTTGGAGGTTATTTCCTTGAAAGAGTCGATGCGCGTGCAGGGGTGGCTGCATGCGAGTTGGTTTCCAAAAGCGACCAAATGTCAGCCGTTAATATCGCCTACTGCCACCCACGTACGTTCAATCTGCCGTAGCCAGTCAGCTTGATAAAGCGCCGGCAAGGCAGTCATCCACTGCGCTGGAATCATTTTTCCTTTACTCTACCGCCTTTCCCGTCAACCCAATCTGCTTACAAAGGCAGAACCGCAATCGTATACCATAATCGCTTCACATCATGGACCCAGCTGCACTCGCACAATCTTCGCCAGAAGAGCAGGCTATATTCCTAGCCGCGCTTTTGGAGGGTCCAGCTCTAGAGCCACCCCCGGGTGCGAGTTCAAACTTCGACCACCCAGGCGGAAGCCATGCTATTGGCTATGGTGTTGTCTTGCTCGGAAGCATTGTCGCTGCACTTGCGGTTCTGCTTCGTTTGTGGTCGAGAGCGCTGCTGAAGACATTTCGCATCGAAGATGCGCTCCTGATATCGGCTCTGGTAAGCATCTCGGTATCCAGAAGACGAACCAAACTAAACAGGCTACAAAGGGTCTATTTGCTGGACACTCGTATGTCTTATACGAACTCGCGATATTCCCAGGCTTTGAAGTTCATCAGTGGAACATCCAACTCCAAAATCTGTTTCCAATCCTTTACGTGAGTGCGACAGCGATCGAGATATGAATCTTCACTGAACCTTAACAGCATGTTCATCTGGGCTCAATCTTTTACGGCTTGGTCATCATGCTCCTGAAGGTAGCCATCTTGCTCGACTGGCTCAAGATCTTCGTGCCTCGTGGGCAGCGCAACGCCGTGTTCTGGATTTCCCATGTCATGATCTGGGCGAACATCCTCTTCTATGGCGTCGGCACCTTGGTCGAGATCTTCCAGTGCAGTCCACGGACCAAGATATGGAATCCTTTGGTAGAAGGCAAGTGCCCTATCGACATGAGAAGCCACAACATGGCTGCGGGTATCGTCAACCTCATCTCCGATCTGGTCATCCTCGGGCTGCCACAGAGGGTGATCTGGCAGCTACACATGTCGCGCGCCAGCAAAATCGGTATCTCGCTCCTCTTCGGTATCGGAATATTCGCTTGTGCGAGCGCAGCGGTGCGGTTATATTACATTTACAGGCTGTTGCACACGTCCGATCAGCTGTATATCGTCTCCATCGCGGGTCTTTGGGGCGTAGGCGAGATGACGGCTGGTTTCCTCATCATAGGCTTCCCGTCGCTTCCCAAAGTCGTCAAAGCCCTGCCATTCTCGGATTCTGTTGTCTCGCTCTTGCGACAGATAACGCGGCCCGGCTCAAGCGGTCATGCTGAAGGTCAGGCCGAGACGCGTCGCGGGCTGCCGTCGTGGCACAAAGCCGCACCACTAAAGAAGCGACGCGACCAGTTCGAGGTCAGCGAATTGAGCGAGTATGATCTTCCCGATCGTGATAGGGTTCACATGGGTGATAGGCGCTAGGTAGAGGCTGCATGGCTGGCATCGCGGGTTGGTGGGATCGCATTCTTCGTAGTTCATCATAGTCCTGGAATGGCAAGATGCAGGTGCCCTGCTGTTCCCGGCACAACTTCGGTAAACGCGTCCCAGCCACTCGTGAACCGCTGACGTGAGCCCATTCATCACGTGACGAACACGAATTGCCCCCGGGGCCTGCGCGTCATGACGATCCTCCCCTATTGCTTTCCTCACTGCTTGATACCCTGCCGACTCTGCAACATTCGCCTGCATGCAATTAAGAGCTCACCAATATGATGTTGCATGCCGAGTCTAGGCACCCTTTCGACCGGTCACCGCCTGTGGTCGCTACAGCCGCGTTGAGACGCCGCAAGCTGCAAGCTGCAAGGGTAGTTATGGCCCACGGATAGTGCCACCAGATCCAGCATCTCATTCGCCTATACTCAGCCTCCCTGGAGCGTCCTCCTCTCATTGCCTGTCTCAATGCTATAGTCAGATCGATCTGATGGCTGTGTCGCACCGGCTATGCACCCATCTGGGGGCAGGCCGTACATATAACGACTATCTTGACTGTGCAGTGCATCACTCGGTTATTCCTGTTACACATCTGGGCGTCTACTTTACGAAGGTTTCCACAGAATGGGTGAGGCATACGACCCAACGACCATCTTCAGCCCCAGCCGAGAGTTGGCAGCCCGCATAGGGAATCAGAAGCCCCGACAAAAGACGATCCCGTCGTCCTCATTCTATCGCAACCTAGAAGACGCACTAGAAGTTAAGAAGAAGTCACACACATTCTATTCGATCCAACAGAACCTATGGCAAGCGGCCGAGTCCACAGTCGACTTCATCTCCAACGACATTCTCTCCTTTGGCACCAGCGGCATCTTGAAGACAGAATACCTGAAAGAGCTTTCCCGATATGATCAACACAACCCCGGGGCGCCGGGATCGCGACTCGCCGAAGGAAACTACGCCTATATAGAAGAAACAGAGCAGCATATCGCTAAATTTCATGGCGCTGAAACGGCACTACTGCTGGCTTCTGGATTCGAAGCAAACGTGGCCATATGGACGTCAATACCACGACCGGGCGACGTGATTCTATACGACACCTTAGTTCACGCCAGCACCCATGAAGGTATCGACCAGAGTCTGGCAGGAGAACGAGAGAGTTTCGCACACAACAACATCGAGGACTTTCGCCGCATCTTAACATGGATCATAGAGTCCAATCCGTTGATCCAAAGGGGTGCAAGATCAGTCTTAGTAGCTGTCGAGTCTGTCTATAGTATGGACGGTGATGTCTGCCCATTGCAAGAACTTGTTGATGCCGCGAAGGAATTGGCTCCTTCCGGAGGTGTCCAGTTCGTGGTGGACGAAGCCCATAGCAATGGCATATATGGGCCTCAAGGCAAGGGTCTTGTGTGCGCTCTCGGTCTGGAAAACGAGGTGGCGATAGTGATGCATTCGTACGGCAAGGCATTATCCTCAAGAGGCGGTATGTATCTCAAGATCTACTTGAAGGTTATGTATACTCATTCGCAAAACAGCTGCCATCCTTGGAAATGAGACAATCAAATCTACGCTCCTCAACTTCGCACGAACTATCATTTTCACGACTGCGCCTTCATTCGCATCGGTAGCACTTATCCGAACAGGATACAGGCTGTTAGAGTCGGAAGTTGGAAGACAGGTAATCATTCTCTTCATATCAATGTCCAGGGCGATCGTTCGCTGACCCTTTACAAGGCCCAAGCACAGGTCCACGATCTTGTAGATCTCTTCTTACAGTCAATCATATCGCACCCTCTCTGGGAATGTGCAGAACAAACTGGGCTGCTCGCCATCCCCCTACTAAAAGACTGGGAAGGATCACCAACGGCGACATCCCACATCATCACTATCCGCACCCGACAACTTTACACATACTGGCTGTATTTCCACCTACTACTAGACGGATACTGCGTGTTCCCAGTCGAGCACCCCGTCGTCGCCAAGGGCGAAAGTCGCTTAAAGGTTACATTCCACGCCGGCAACACGGAAGAGCAAGTAAGCGGGATGGTAACATCAGTTTTCGCGTGGATCCAGGAAATGAAGGAAATCGAGGGAAGCAAGGATGATGCGCAGCAAATTGGCGTTTCGCAAGCTGCGCATAAGGTCTATACTTGGATGGCGCATGAAGGGCTGACTGGGTTTGGCATGCCTGCTTCGATGGTGAGATACTGAGGGTACCTTCTATTGGCCTCACGATCATTACCCGGATAATTCGTCTCGTCTCGAGTTCGCCTTGGTAGTTCAAAGATTATGCACAATGTGACAGGGATGGAGTAGCCTGGTCAACCGGGCGTAAAACGCATGCAACAAACGAAGCCAGCCGCGTTATCCCTCATATCAACTTCATAAAGTACCAAAATGGCGGTCCCCGAGCCGCGAAGACCATTCCTTCATGTACATGTTGTGGGTAACACGAAATATGCACGTAAGCCGTTGAGGCTTGGCGAGAAGGAATGGAATGGGGCGAAGTAAGATCATAGTTGCAGAAAGGTTGGCGGCAGTTCCTTCAGCCTTCACATGCTAGCGCTTCGGGCCGGTGGATCTTGGATGCTCATACGTGCATGTAGGATTCTTCCGTCGAGGCTTTTTTGGAGATTAGGATATGCCCAAGTTGTTTAGTCCAACCCACACCTAGATTTTTTGTATGCTTGTTGTTGTTCAAGTATTGGATATACGCAATGACCAAGTCTCACCGTGCTCGGATAGAGTGAGACAACCCAGGCTTTGTCTACACACTCCAAGCTGCCATATTTCTGACTTTACACGCGATCGTGCAATGGAAACCAGGTAATCTTTCATAGCCTCATTATCCGTATGAGACAAGTTCTGGAGTTTGACATAGCCTAATGTCCACGTGAAGTCCATAAATCACGCGGGCCGTGCACCACGATGCAGCGCCGCTGCCTAAACAATTACTGTGCCACAAACGCGCAGAACCCTTACACGGGCCACGGATGAGGTGGCGGCGTTGTGTCTGGCTCACCTTCGCTCCCGTCAATTCTCCGGCAACCACTACTCTTTCACATTGCCGTCCGTTTCACAGCACGCAAGCATGGTGCCTAAAGGTGACCTAAGTGGGAAGGTACGGCGGCGCCTATTTGATTCGCGCTTTCCAAGGTTCACGCTGACATGTGAAGATGGTATTCGTGATTGGCGGGTCTAAAGGACTGGGGAAGGAGATGTCGAAGGTTATGGCGTCTCAAGGTACGAGCGTGGTATGCCTAGAGTGTCGGTCGTCCTTGTTGAACAGCAACGTATAGGTGCTCATGTGACTATCTTTGCGCGCGGGCAGACGTCGCTTGACGAAGCCAAAGATGAGATTCTTGCAAGCAGAAGAAACGAAAGTCAGCAGGTTGCGGCAATCGCTGCAGACCTTGGCACATCTTCAACAGTGAGTAGGCGTCCGGTCTAACACCCATAAAGAGAAGGCAAGTCCAGGTTAGCATTCTAATGATACTACTAGGCGTATTCCCTTTTCGCATCACAGCCGACAATTCCGGATATCCTGTACTGTGTTGCTGGCGGTACACCGTCGGAGTGCGGGTACTTGCTCGACCTGCAGCCTGAGGTATTCGAACGCTGTATGAACAACAACTACTACTCAAGCCTATACCCAGCGCAGGCGGCAATGAAACTGTGGACTCAGGATGACGAAGACGCTGCGGTCCCATCAAGCCCAAAGTTGAGGAAGATTGTGTTTGTGAATAGTTCCGCATCGCTTGTCCCGGCACCTGGCTACCTAGCATACTCCGGTAAGTGGTTGTGCATCGCCGTAGAACGGTGCAAGTCTTGAAACTCAGTATACTGATTGATCGTGCGTTCATCAAGCCGCCAAAGCTGCTCAACGCTCACTTGCCGACACCCTACGCATGGAAGTAATGAGGTACTCAGGCCCAAAGAGCACATACGTCGTCCAATGTATCTTTGCGCACAACTTCATCACGCCAACATTCCTGCAAGAGCAAAAGACTAAACCCGAACTTACCAAGCGCATTGAAGGCACGTCGGGCGAGCTTCACGAGTTGGAGAAGCACTTCCCCTACGCTGCGAAGATTGCGCCCGAGATTGTGGCAAATGTCGCCAGCGGCGACTATGCTGTATGTGATGGGAGATTCGATCCTCAGCTTTTGTGGGCGAATGCTATGGGTGCGAGTCCGCGGCGCGGATGGGGGATCGTGGATACGCTGATGGCTATGTTCATGCTTCTCGCGTGGCCATTCGTGAGGCGCGATATGGAGAAGAAGTGTTGGGGTGATGCGTTGGGTGGAAAGTAGGACGAAATGGTGCTGGCCTTTCTACGGCACGATTGCCCTGTAAAGCTTTTTTCAATGCTATTGTTGCTCATCGTCAATGATGTGTCGAGTATGCCATGGCCTTTGGCTTCCAAGGTTTCAAACCAAACCCATGCCATGCTGATTGCGTCAGCACGTTGGAGGGCGGGCGTGACGTCGGCGGCCAAACATCCACGACAACGGCCCCCGATCGCAGCGCTCTTACAACCGGGCCGTGAAGGCGCTGGGCAAAGAGCATGGATGCGAACTGAAGGCGCGTAGTCAACGGAGGCGTGGTCGGAGTGGGGTCGTGATCGCGAGCGTGGTCGTGGTCGTGACGGCCCGTCGGCTTCGCGCTTCCTCAGTTTGGTTGGTGCCGAACATCCGCCGCTGCGGCCCCTGATCGCATCGCTCCTGACAGCTGTCCTTAGCCCCATGTGGGTAGTTTCGGGGCCGATTCAAACATAAATTTTGGAGTCTCAAAATTGAGGATTCTTGACGTAGATACTCTACCGCGCCTCATGCAGACCATCAACTTCCTCGTCTAGCATCGCGATGTGAGTTTCGTGTCTCGCTGGTGAGCACACGCACGGTGGCCTGCAAAGGTCATTGCTTTGCCATCACCCGGAGCCTTATCCGATGGTTTAAGCTTCAGGGGTCATTCCTCGCGGTGGGCAGGAACAATGACACATGGGCACAGTCGCAGTTGAGCATTCGCTTCTTTTCTGAGTCATTGCGGTCATTGCAAGTTATCCCGATATTTTGCCCAATCCTTCGTTCTGTCCCGGCCCAGCATCTCATACAGGAAAAAGACTGAACAGGTCCAGAGCCCACATCGACGTCAGGTCACCTACTTTGCATGTCTCCATGTTGACATAGACTGCAGACTTGTTCAATTTTTTCCTCGCTACCTAGGTACTACTACTACTGCGTTCATTCCAGCCGGTACTGACCTCAGCGTTTGAGCTGCAGGGCTGTTTCGTCAACTTCACCTTTGCTCTCGCGGAGTGGCTGATAAAACCGCGATTCGCTGGGGCTAAATTTGCGGCGCAACATCTGAGCAGTGGGAGGAATTCAGGTTGATCTTCGATTGCCGTGGGGGCCGTTGCCGTCGTCGATATCCAGATGGAACGGATGAGAAGAGCGTAGTCAAGACTGGAATAGACAACGGTTTGCTGGCACGTCGACCTACCTAGGAAGGCGAACGCCGAGCGCGAAGCAAAGTTCTCGGCGAGGTTGACTTTGCAAGTCTTTCAACACATGACGAATGGTCATTCACGAATGTCTGTGCCTCAGTATCGCATCGTGTAGCAAAGTCCTACCTCAACGTCATCTGAAGATTCCGTTGCTACGATAAGCTTACATGTCCTCGAATCCTTGCGCTTAAAAGTCAAGATCTGTGCCACAGCAGTACATCCATGCTCTAGAGGTGCTACCTCTGCTCTACGAAAGCTGGGGGCTGTGAGATTTACGGAAGTCCAGCATTTGGCAAGATGTATAAGAGGAGGCGTATTTGCGTAGGAGAGTATCCAAGTCCCAATCAAGATCTCCTTCATACCTCAACCTTGGAAATCTCTCTGTTCTCTGACCAAATTTGTTTCGCTTCAAAGCTTGTGTCAATCTAACAATTCCTTTCAGCCATGTCTCCAAGCAAGCTTGCGCTTCTTCCAACAATCCTCTTCCTAGTCACTCAAGCTTATGCCCAACTCAACACCGTTGATTACAACGTCACCGGATACGATGTGGCTCCAGACTTGTCCGATTCCGAGTTCGATCCATACCCTCCCCTGAAAGATGACAAGGGGGATCAACTTGACGCAGCCAATGTACGCGGCACTCGTCTTTTTGGTTACCAAGGTTGCGACGGGCGGGCTAAGGATGCCATCAATGAGGCATACAATGACTTCTACAAGCTGTCTCATCTGGACGGCTTGTACGCCAACTTCGATTGGAAAGGTCAAGCAGCGAGGGAGTTTTGGGGGTCTGAAGTTAGTCCAAAAGCTCCTCTGAACGACGAGAGAAAGGAAGAGATTCGACGTAAGTGTAGTTGTGATCGGCTTGAATCTTAGTACATGCTGATCAGACACTTCCAGAGATATATGACGCAGCAAGCTCGATATGGTCCTACCCGTGGTTGGGGAGGCCGCCATGGACCCCAGAACCGCCAGGCCGTAATCTGTGGATCCATGTGAGATGTAGCGGTGGTAACAATAAAGGCGATCCGATTAATAGGTGCGGTGACCGCAAAGACGCTCCAGTGAACAATCCGCAATGTCCGCCACCCCCAGAAGATGGCTCGCCAAAGGAGGAAGTCATCATGCAAGCTTATTCGGATGAAAATGATGGAGGTTGGTTCGGTGGCTACAGCCAGATCACCTTTTGCAACAGGTTCTTTAACGACCTTCGGACCTTGGATGAAACAACCCGGTACGCAAAACGATCTGATGAACGGAAGAACAATCTGGAGAGTTGGGACAATCGAGCGAGGTGCTTCTTTCACGAGATAACGCATCACAACTACTTTGTTAGTAAGTGGACGTCAGTACAGATCGCGAAAGACAGTGCCCTAACATTCCTTTCTCCCTCACAGACTCGGGAGGATCTGGCAAATCCCCCAATGTCGACGATTTGCGCATAATGTTCGGTCCGAAGAGAGATAGACGCACCGAAGATACCTATGGGCCTCTTCTTTCCAAAATCCTGCGTAACTTCAGGGCTGACGGCTGGTACCCCGGCCAAAACGCAGACACTTATGCTTGGTACGCCATGGCTATGTGGGCTCAGAAAGAGATTGGACATTATCCCGAGAACCCAAAGTCGAGGGGCGTCAAGCCTGTCGCACCACCTCGACGGGCCGACGGCTCCTCTCTCAACGACCCCGCAGGCCCGGCCGACTCTTCCGACGACTCAGAGGACACTGAATTGGACTACCAGCCCTCGGAAGGTTTTACGACACCAAACTGCGGCTCCAGGATGAGTGCCGTGGAGCAACCTCCTCTGCCAGTTCTGAACGTCAGTTGCGTAGATGCGTCGAGCGCCGTCCCGGCAGACGTTTTCAGTTCCGCAACGAATCAAGTCTATTCAACGTTCTGTCGCGGTACAGTCAATAACGGCAAGCAACTTGAGTGGATGGCTGACGTCTTTGGCAATCTCACCGGGCTGTCTCCGAGTCAGCATTCACGGGTCAAACGATTCGCACATTTGACGAGAGCCGATGGGCCCGAGCAGTATACCAATTGGCAATTCAAGCTCGATTGGGTGCCAGAAAAAGATTCAACTGACGCAGCTCAGTGCTACTTGGACTGCGAAACTGCTTTTCAAGCACTTGCCGCAACGCCGCAATGCTCTCAGAAGGGAGACGATAAGAACTTGATGTCACTTTCGGGACAAATCGATGTTGGCTGTGGGATGTACGGATACACTGTCAAAGGCATAGCTATCTCGTAGGGAGCGAGATCATGCGCCGGTCGGATCGAAAGTGTAGCAAGGAAAGGCGTTTGTCGGTTCTTGAGGAGGGGGCAGGAGAGAGGGCTGGGATTGGGGGGTTGTTTGTGCACTTTTGAACACAACTTACGTATCTTGTACATCAAGCAGAGCCTTCAGAGGCCTTTCCATTCGCTGACGCGATTATCAAACAAGCGCTCCTGCTGACTCATGACTGTTCGAGAGCACTTCAGAGGGCTCCAGAGCAGACGAACCAGGCAGGGCTTTACCGCCAAGATTCCGACTCTCTCCATCGTTTGGCCATGTTTGTTGAAGTTCGCCAACTTCGCCTCGATGGGTTTCCCAACTGCCAATGAAAGCTTTGCCCTCGTAATCCTCCAATCCTTTCCACCACTTCCCTCCAAGTTTGCTGTCCATCAGCACTGCAGCCTTCTCGTCCATTGTCACACATAGGAACAACCTCGACACATCGTCTGGAGCGACGTCGTCCATGCGTCCACCGGGGTACATCATGGTCGGCCACTCAGCTACGACCAGTCCGCCCGAACTAGGCCATGCGACACCAACCCACGCGTTTTCCCTCGCCGTCGGCTCAGGGAGAGCAGCCATTTCGTCCTCATCTTGCAAGTGGTCGGGTTGAGTAAACAGGGAGTGTCTAGCGGGAGAATCCCACCACTTCCCGCCGAGCAATAGTAATCGCTGAGCAAAGTCGTCTTCCTCTTGTCGAGTGGGGTGACGCTTCTTCGGTGGATCGAGACGGTCGAGGCCGAGAAAGTCGAAATCTGCTGGACAGGGCCTCTCGAGTACGACCACACCTCCGCGTGATGGCCAAGCGAATATGGTGATTTCTTCGTAGAAGTCGACACGTTTCCTGAGATCTTTGACGCTATTGTATATGGTTCGCGGACCGCACAAGTGCGTTGGACGTTGCACCGGACTTACGAAACGTGCGCTATCAGATGGGGCCTGTGGCGTGGGACGGAATAAACTGAGCAGGCTATCCATGATGAGGCCGAAATGTGTGCCGAGTGCAATGGTGAAGGCGGGGAACAGAAGATCAAGATACAATTACTGCGCCTCATGCACGGTCACGTGTGTAAGCAATCGCCTGCGCAACTGCGATGGGGCCAGGGGGGCTGAATGGTCGCAAGGACATAGTCAAGGTATCATCAACCACATTTCCACTTCTTGAAAAAAGGATAGCCTGCATACTCAAATATTGAGGTTGGTAGTATAAGCAATTTGTGATAATGGATGTACAAGTAGCGCGCACTTGATGAACAGTATTCTTTGATGTTGTCAGAATTACAACTTCTGTAAAGGAAGGTTCATTGCTCAAGCATGGCCCCTGGAGATGCTCAGTCAAGCGATACTGCACGGCGCAGAGCAGAATGCATACTGTTGTCTCTGACGTGTCGAGTCTGCCGTGGCCTTTGGCTTTCGAACCGGACGTCAGGCCGCAAGGCGTGAAGAGTCACACCCTGCCACGCTGATCGCGGACCCGCCTGTGTCGCATTGAACCATGGTCATTGCAGGCGGAACGTTGGGTAGGCGTGGAGTGATGATCTGATGTGGCACCAGTTGGGCCGACGCGACTGGTCTAGTCCATATCGGGTATAGTGCAACATGAGTGACGTAGCTGCGATTGGCGGGGAGCTCTTTGCCTGACCGGAAACCTGTACGAGGATCCAGAAGCTTCTACCGACAGGGCAGAACCCACGCCTAGCTTCGAGACATGACGAGAAACCACACGATGTCACTGACGGCTTCCTGACGCTTCGTGAAGTGTGTTGAGTAAAGCTGCCTTTACCCTATAAATATTTCTCGAGTCCTTTGTGCAACACTTCCTTTCTTCTCCAGAAATACCCAACAACAACACAACGCATACACGATTCCTGAGTACGAGCTCACGATACACGATTATTACCTTTGGCTTCGGGCCATATACACCAGGCTATAGTCACGAATCACCATGACTTCATTCGACGCCTACACCGACCGCGCCGCGAAGGCTCTAGCAGACAGCTTCGATCTAGCTAAGGGCTATGCGCACTCACAACTCACACCCCTCCACCTCGCCGTCTCGCTCATAGATCCGCCCAAGGATCTGGCCAACCAAGTCGACGTACCACCGCCGCCGCTATTCAAGCAAGTCCTCGAACGCGCGAATGGCGACCCACAACTCTTCGAGCGCAACCTCAAGAAGGCTATGGTACGGTTACCAAGCCAAGACCCTCCGCCAGAGCGGACTTCACCTTCACCTGCTATGGCGAAGGTGCTCCGCTCCGCCGAAGACTTGAGCAAGACACAAAAAGACAGCTTCATCGCCGTCGACCACCTCATCCAGTCCCTCTGCCAGGATGCGCAAATGCAACGGATCCTCGCCGAGTCGAACGTACCGAACGTCAAGCAGATCGATAATGCCATCCTGGCACTCCGAGGCACAAAGCGAGTAGACTCCAAGTCGGCAGACGCGGAGCAGGAGAATGAGAACTTGAAGAAGTTCACCATCGACATGACGGCAATGGCACGAGAGGGCAAGATCGACCCAGTCATTGGTCGAGAAGACGAGACACGCAGAGTCATCCGCATCCTGACTCGGCGAACCAAGAACAACCCAGTCCTCATCGGAGAACCTGGTGTTGGTAAGACTACAGTCGTCGAGGGTCTTGCCCGCCGCATTGTCGATGCGGATGTACCGGCCAACCTCGCGGCCTGCAAGCTGCTCTCGCTCGATGTCGGTGCTTTGGTTGCTGGCAGCAAGTACCGAGGAGAGTTTGAAGACCGCATGAAGGGCGTCCTGAAGGAGATCGAGGAGTCGAAGGAGATGATAGTATTGTTCGTCGACGAAATCCATCTCCTCATGGGCGCTGGTTCATCCGGAGAGGGCGGCATGGACGCTGCCAACTTGCTGAAGCCCATGCTGGCCCGTGGACAGCTTCACTGCATCGGTGCGACAACCCTGGGCGAGTACCGAAAGTACATCGAGAAGGACGCTGCCTTCGAGCGTCGTTTTCAGCAGGTTCTCGTCAAGGAACCGTCCATTCCCGAGACCATCTCCATTCTCCGTGGTCTCAAAGAGCGCTACGAGACCCATCACGGTGTCACCATCATGGACGGTGCAATCGTCGCATCAGCCACCCTTGCTGCTCGCTACCTCACTCAGCGCCGACTACCCGACTCTGCCGTTGACCTTATCGATGAGGCTGCGGCAGCAGTCCGTGTCACCCGGGAGTCACAACCCGAAGCGCTTGATAACCTCGAGCGACGCCACCGACAACTACAGATCGAGATTCACGCGCTTTCCCGAGAGAAGGACGAAGCCTCACAAGTCCGTCTGAAGGAGGCGCGCGCAGAGGCCGCCAACATCGAGGAAGAGCTGAAGCCGCTTCGTGAGATGTACGAGCGCGAAAAGGGTCGCAGCAAGGACATCCAGGAGCAGAAGCTCAAGCTCGAAGGCCTCAAGACGAAGCTTGCTGAAGCCGAGCGTATGCGTGACATCCAGACTGCTTCCGATCTCAAGTACTACGCCATTCCCGATGTCGAGCAGCGCATCAGCGAGCTGGAGAGGGACAAGGCCCGCGCGGATGCAGAGATGTGGTCTCACCAAGCTAGTGGAGGTGGTGAGGCTCTCATGAGCGACTCTGTTGGTCCGGACCAGATCAACGAGATTGTCGCTCGCTGGACCGGTATCCCAGTCACTCGACTCAAGACTACAGAGAAGGACAAGCTGCTAAACATGGAGCGCCACCTCCAAGAAGTCGTCGTTGGTCAGAGGGAGGCTGTCGTCTCCGTCTCCAACGCCATCCGACTTCAGCGCTCTGGTCTGGCCAACCCCAACCAACCGCCCAGCTTCTTGTTCTGTGGTCCTTCCGGTACCGGTAAGACACTCCTCACAAAGGCTCTTGCAGAGTTCCTATTCGACGACGCAAAGGCCATGATCCGCTTCGACATGTCCGAGTACCAAGAGCGTCACTCCCTCAGCCGAATGATCGGAGCACCACCCGGCTACGTAGGCCATGACGCCGGAGGTCAGCTCACCGAAGCCCTGCGCCGCAAACCTTTCTCCATCCTCCTCTTCGACGAAGTCGAAAAGGCCGCCAAGGAAGTCCTCACCGTGCTCCTCCAACTCATGGACGACGGCCGCATCACCGACGGCCAAGGCCGCGTCGTCGACGCAAAGAACTGCATCGTCGTCATGACCTCCAACCTCGGAGCCGAGCACCTATCCCGCCCCAACGCACCCGACGGCAAGATTGACCCCACGACCAAAGAAATGGTCATGGGTGCCCTCCGCAACTGGTTCCTCCCCGAGTTCCTCAACCGCATCTCCTCCATCGTCATCTTCAACCGCCTCACCAAGCGCGAGATCCGCAAGATCGTCGACGTGCGCCTCGGCGAAATCCAGAAACGCCTCAACCAGAACGGACGTAATGTGCGCATCGAGATGACGCCTGAGGTACGGGATTACCTTGGTTCGGCGGGCTACTCGCCTGCGTACGGTGCTAGGCCGCTTGCTCGTCTCATCGAGAAGGAGGTGCTTAACCGGCTTGCGGTGCTTATCCTCCGTGGCTCTATCAAGGAGGGTGAGACCGCGAGGGTTGTTCTTGATGATGGACACATTATGGTCTTGCCTAACCACACGGACAGTGAGGATGATTCGGAGATGTACGATGAGTCTGATGCTGTTGCTGAGTTGGATGCGGAGGAGGACATGGATCTTTACGACTAGAGGAATGTGAAGGGAAAGGGAGGTTGAGTTAGAGGCATTTCAGCATAGGCGTTTAGGGATTGATTGGTTTGGGAAGAGTGCCTTGGTAGAGGCACCATGATGGGATTATGATTCATGGTTTGACGATTGTTGATGAAAAGTAAAGGCGCGGGTTGGCGTTTTACTGGGTAGCATGCTAGATGACCGTGTCTTGTACATAGTTAATGAGAACCAGATTTAAAACACCTTCACCTTCGCCATGCATTAGTTATCCGTCATTGCACTGTTATGACAACATGGCGATGTCGTGATAGATGACCATCACGTTGTACAAGCTGTCTTCGTCTTTCACAGGCTACGCCGATTACGACATGGTCATGTTCAGGCACCAATCGACATGTACCATTATCCTATCCAACATTCACGAGCATCACAACGGACATGTAAATTTCCCAGTCATGAACTTTTGTCATTTCTTCGTCTAACGTTGCCAAGATGGGCTTACTTGGCCAAACGAATGCTTGCCCAAGCCAGGGTATATTGAATCCCACACCACCACATATCGAGACAGCCTCTAGTAGAAGAAACCGAGAATCTTGCCAGCAACGTGCTTCCTGCGGGCCTCCTCGTGGTCCATGATACCAGCGGAGGTGGTCAGGACGATGTAACCGAATTGACGCGAGGGAAGTAGCTTGACGACCCACTTCTCCATGTCGCGGAGCTGGACGTTGTAGCGGGGGGAGATGACACCGGTCTTGTTGATGCGGCCGTTGAGCTGGATGACGATCTTGCCGTTGCGGTGGTCGTCGACCTCCTCGAACTCGCCAATGTAACCTGAAGATAATTAGTGTTTGTTGCGGCGAAATAAACATCAGACGTCATGAAAGGGATCCGAAGACGTGTAAGTCCTCCGCAGTTAATTTATCGGACACTTAAAGCTCATTGATCGTGGGGAGTCGAGATCAGTGAGTAGTTATCAGCCCGAAGAGGTGATGGGGTTGCTAGCGGAGGAATACGCGTCTTTGGAGACATGACGCGTGATGTGAAGTATGAACGAGTCGACGTACCGTGACGCTGCATGACAGTGAGGAACTTGACGATGACCTTGGAGGAAGGACGGATCAGGACCTGGCGCTTGCCAGCCTTCTCAGCCTGTTCTGTTGTTAGCGCATGGCCATGTCAATCGCCGGCGCTGTAGCTTACGTTGTTGATGGCGTTGAGCGCATCGTTGAGGACGGAAGTCTTGACCATATTGACGGTTTAACGGGAGATTCTCTGTGGCGGAGGCGACTGAGGTATCTGCGCGTGCGTGGTTAGCCTCCAGATGCCAGAGCATGGAGAGTGCCCTTGCAGAAGGGTTCTTCAGCTCGTGTCGAAGAGGAGAAGCAGTGTCGCACTCATCCTTGCGGACGACGGCGATTGCATCCCCGGGCTCTGAAGGGCACTCGGGTCCAAGACATACCTCGTGAGGGTGCGGTGGGCGGTAGGGAAGGACGGTGTTGCGAGAAAAGTTCGAGTTTGGAAGGCGCAAATTGGTGTGGTGGACCGTGTCCTCGCTAACGGGGCTGGGCTTGGCAGCAACGACGGGACCCTTGCAGGCTCAGTGCACCCAGCACCAAACTCCTACACCTGGCTGTCCTGCCACACGTCGCAATCACGATACAGAGAGAGTATACGTCTGCCGAGCACGGGACAACATATCGCAGGGCTTATGGTTTGAACTTCACACACATGCGATGCTATCGCGCCTTCACGTGCCCTCGCGATCGCCAACTGTCTTAGTCATGACGTAGCGGCAGTCACTTTGCCTCCCATTATCCCTTACGAACCTCACGTGTAGACATCCGGAAGTCCCCTCATACACTCTAGTTCACCCCTCTGTTTCATCATGTCTGAAGCATGCTGTACCTGCGCTGCGCTCCTATCCTCTATTCCCCCAACATACGATGAGAAGACCGAGAAGCCGTCGCAGTTCGAGCGCAGACTCGACTGCTGCGGGCGTGCCATTTGCGCTAGATGTTTGACGGATAACCCTAGATTTCAAGACTACTGCCCATATTGCCAGATAGCGACAGGGCCATCAGCACTACCACCACAAGGTCTCCGCGACCCTCCTACGTATTCGCCACCGGGCGAGCAAGTCGACGACGAACTACCACCATACTCAGCAGGCAACGCGCTGCAACCACCATCTGAGAAGTCGAGGACAGACGCCGAGGACGCGCCTGATGTTCTGCACTTTGTCGACCAGAACAACGACTCGATCTTATCGCTATCGCTCCGATATGGTGTACCCGCTGACGCCTTACGCCGAACGAACAACCTTTATGCGGATCATCTACTAGCGGCGCGTAGGACGGTGCTCATACCGGGAGAGTTCTACAAAGGTGGGGTTAGTCTAAGCCCGAGACCCTTAGAGGGTGAAGAAGAAGAGATCAAAAAGACAAAACTACGGAAGTTTATGGTTAAATGCAAGGTTGCAGAGTAAGGGCATCACCTCCCACCATATAATGGACATATAGAGAACTGACATCCTCACTAGATACGACGTTGCACTCCTTTACCTCGAACAGGCTAGCTACAACCTCGAACAGGCGATCACTGCGTACAAGGCCGACGAAGACTGGGAGAAGACGCATTCTCTAGAGGCCGCGAAGAAGGGCAAGGCAAAAGAGTCGCAAACCTCAGGGCGGCGGAAGTGGGGCTTTGGAGGCCTCACAGGTCAGCTTTGATAGCGCTTCCGAGCCGATTCTCCGCTCATGGCGTTTCGCGGCGCTCCGACAACTTGGTAGAATGGGCATTACCATCGTAGTTAGCGAGCGTGTGTAGATGTTTCGAATGGCCGATTAATATACTATGCCATATATTGGAAGAACTCTTGTGCTCGAGATGGCGGAATGCACAATACAGTATTCACCTTCCTAACGATATCTCACGTGCAGAGCAGTTTGGACGATTTCTGAACTCCCATCAGCCTCTCTAAGAAAATCGACTGAGCTTACTATCAGGACATCAGGAGGATCTGCTATTTTCGTTGGTCGTTGCTTCCAAAGTCTCACTGGTCGCGTCAGGCGCTCACAGCCAATCATCGCGCAGAAGCACCCCAGGCTGTAAGCGCCCATACATCTCACGAATTAGCATCTGCACCTCAACTCTGGAAGCGCCCACGCTCCATTCGCGTTTCACACTCTGGCGACCCTGCATTCGCATCCTTCTGTATCCTCATTCGACAGCTGACAGCGCACTACAACCGCTCATGCCCTGACTCTGCCCTACCTCGCTACCAGCGGAACCACAGACAAGCCACAGTCTTTGACGCACGGTACGATCGGCACCCTGATTGAACCACAGGGAACGGCATGTGCTGCTAAATGCACACATGCGGTAATACGGCAAGACCCCATGCAGGTTAATATCGCTATTCTAGGCCTGGTGTGCAGCTTACGCGCTGCGAACAACAATACCCTCACCACAAGCCTAGCACACTGGCGCTGCTAGTCCAGGTCCGACTGATGGTCGCAGCGGCAAGACAGATTGCCGTTCTTTCTTTGCTCTTGTTCGTCTATTCCTGTACGCGAACGCCAGATGGGCTGCAGGGGGTTGCACGATGTGTTCTGTAGGCGTGAAACCCCCATTGCGACCGAGATCGTTTTAAAGGCATGTGCCACCCCCAGAGTTGTTTTCTATCCCCATCCCAGGCAAAGAAGATCGACTCGGAGCCTTAGCTTATATCAGGCCTCTTTCTGTTGCTTGCTTGTTATTTCGTTCTCTCGTTCATTCGTCCTTCATTCCGAGAAAGAAAGGTGCGCACTGGTTGACGCCTAGTAATCGATCCGATCTTTATACCATACCTACGCTCCACGTTTTTGAAATATAAAAAGCAACTCCGAGACCAACGACTATCATCACGATGAAGATCAACCCCGCTCCTTTCCACTTGGCTCAGGCCATCATCACCGGCCTTGTCGTCGTCTTCAGCATCTGCATCCTTGGCACTTCGGCACACACCCTCGATGTGTTCAACAGGCAACATCTCACAAACCCTTGGTGGGCACCGATGTGGCCTCAGCACTTTGACGTCCAGGGAACCAAGGCGCTCATCGCTTCGTCTGTCGTGACTCTGGTTCTCTGTGGTGCGTTCTTGATCGCATCGTTCCTGCCCCAGGTAAGCGACCGTCCCAACATCTCATGCAAAAGAACAGCCTCCTAACAAACATCAGCTTGCACTTCGTCAGAAATACACCCTGCGTGCTCTTCTGTCCCTCGCTACCCTCCTTCCTACTCTTCTCCTCACCCTGATCACCACGATCTGGGCCCACATGCTCAACAACAACGCGCCGGAAGTCGATACCATCCAGACCTGGACCTGCAAGATGCAGAGCTCTCAACCGCTTGACCAGGATCTGCCTGCTGACATTGCCATGCCTGCCGGAATGGGCAACAGCGACTTCAAGACCCTTTGTGGGGCAAGCAAGTTTGCGCTATACGGAACCCTTATCGTATTCCTGCTAGTGGGCGCAAGCATGGCTGTCACAATGATTACCTGGATGGCAGACAAGTGGGCAGCGAGGCAGCAGAGGAAGGAAGTTGAGATGGGCAACATTCCCGTGAACAACTAGGCACATCCCAAGGGCGATGTTAATTCGAGAAGAGATGATAACGAGACACGTATACGCGCTTGGAGGCGCGTATTATGTCGAGAGATTTGATGCATTTGGGTTATGGACCTCTGTCAGCAAGCGTGTCCAAAGGGGGAAGGCGTACCGGTGTATTGGCGTCATAGGTCGTTGGTATGTGACTTGAAACAAGGGTCTTCCTTTCAATGTACTATTAGGCAAATGAAGGCCTCTTTTGCGTTCAATCGCATCTTCTTCACAACGCTTGAGATTGGAATGAGGCATTGTGCAGCGATATTGCGGGGGACTGGGCCCAGATCAGATCGACAAGTCCAATGGACGATCACCCTGGAGTTGAGCACAGGATGCGTAAGCGTGCGTGAGCGGGAACAGGCAATCATGCTGAACCGCTGCATGGCGCTTTTGTGTTTCTGGGTGAAAAGCGAGCGTTTGCTGGACATGGATCGTCTGGAAAGTTGGACGGGCCAGCAAGCAGCCTCGGAGGAGTTGTCGCGCAGAGCAACGGCACGGCAGCGCGCGCGACAAGCAATTGTCTTTGTACCATCCAGACATTGTTCATGAGACATTGCACGTAGCGGTTTCAGGGCAGCGTTGAGACGACCTCGCATCTCCGACAATTGACAGGTTAGATAGGGAGCGAACCGCAGTGGGGAAGGCGTGAATAAGCCGGTCAACGATCATCGTTTGGTTCGCGGTTCCAGTTCGGCCGTCCAGTCGCGTCACGACTGCTGATCAGCGCGCGACTCCTCACACTTACATCAACTGCCGTCATCCGGCCAGGCCCTCGAGCGAACTTGGTTTGTCGCATTTGCTTCTTTCTCTCCCTCTTGCACTCCGACCGGAGCGTGACTCGGAAAGCGAAATCTACCCGCCGTTCCTCGTTAAGCAGCTAAATTGATCACCCGTCCTGTCATCCCGGAACCCTGTCCATCTTCAGCCCCCAAGGGCTCGAGCGTGCATCGAAGCGGCATCAGAAAGATCCCCTCTCCACCTCAGCGACACCGCATAATCCTGCCTGACCGCGCCTTCCGACCGCTCCTTCCCCCTTCACACACACATCCACACAATTGCACTCCGCTATGCAAGCTCGCCATACGTCGACCGACGAACACCGCAGCAAGAGAAAGTTCCAACCCAGCATCACAAGCTATTTCGAGGTGCGGGACGATTTCGAGGATACCGACGATCTGCGGGGCCTAGATCCGACTACCCGACCGCGACACCAAAACGCGAGGCAACATCAGCACCAGCACCAGCACAGGGAGAAACTCGCTCCTGACGTCCCCGGCCAAGTCCAAGCAGACCTCCTCAGCGTCGGCATGAGAGTGCGAAAGAGCGTGCCGGAAGGCTACAAGATCCACAAGACATCCGGCCTCCCCTCCATCCAAACCACCATGTCGCGGCCCACCCTAGCCGTCAAACCACCCCGAGAGCCTGTATCAGAAGAAGTCCTGCACCAGCGCGAACTTCTGCCCTTCTGCGGCTTGAACAAAATCGGTGGCTTCGCAGAACAACCAACAACAAACCCACACCTCTACGCCGCGAACGGCACGCCGCCACCTCCAAACTACTTCCCCCTCCCCGCCGAAACCTTCACCCAGCCCTTCTCGTCCAAAGCATCCACAGACAGCGGATACTCAACGACTTCGCAACGTCCACACAACCCCTCGAAACGCTCATGGCAGGACGAAGATGAAGTCAGGACATTAGACACAACCTTCTTCTTCGGCTCATCATCATCGACGAGGGGCATGGGCATGGGCGTCGAAGTCGACGAAGTGCCTGTCAGCCCGCTGAGCGAAACGCCGCCTCAGGGACTCAATATGCAACCGCCACCGCGTCGCGTCGCGCTGCCCAAGTCCAGACGAACAGCGCAACGGACGATTAGCGATGATGATATCGATATGGATTTTGAGAACGCGGCGCATATGGAGGGGAGGGTGGGTGCGGGTAGTGGGAGTGATTTTGAAGAGGCGGATTTCTTGAGCAAAGAGGTGGATATGGGTGGGATCTAAAGGGACCATATCACACCTACGGTCGGTTTTCTTGTCCTCCCGGAACCTTCTCGCTTCTTCGCTTCTTGTATATACCTTGGTTCTGGTCTGGTTACACGGTCTTCCCTTTTGGTTCCTCCCCCCCGACACGCGAAGCGGTCATTACAAGCGGCGCAACAAACGGCGTTCATGAACAAGCGATGTATGTAATGTCGGCGCGTATACCCGGTTTATCTTTCTTGGTTGTCTAGCTGGTAAATCTACTCTTGGTTTCCCCAAACGGCCTCCCTTTGCGATATGCACTCCTAGATCTCCTGATTAATCAACGCAGCACTATCACATATCTCTTCACTACGAACATTAAAAACCAACTCCCCATCTATCGTAACATTCCTCGTCGTAAACCCAAAACAATGGCCCCCTTCCCAGTCATTACTCACATCGAAAGTGTTGCGCCAACAAACCGCATTGCAAAGAGGGTCTCGGCCTGCTTGTATATCGGTCCGGTTGTTCTGGTTATACTGCGCGCATATGTCGATGCATTCGTCGAGGCTTTTTACTACGCCCTGCACGGGAGCCGCGACGCCGCCGGTGTTCAGGTAACTTGCATTGCAGAGTTTGCGGAAGTGGTAAGATGCGCTGCCGTAGGTCACGGTGCGGAGTGTGTTGTTGGAGGATGGGCAGTCGCGGAGGAGTGTGGGTTGCGGGCTGGATGTTGGGCCGAGGATGGTGGTTGTGCTGATGGTTTGGGTTGATGATGTGGGGGATGGTGTTGTTGAGGTAGATTGTATGCTGCTTGCAGGTATTTGTGTACTGCTGGTCGGGCTGGTCGAGCTGGATTTGCGTGTTGCAAGCGATCCCCCGACTCCACCGCCCACAGCACTGGCGATGATGATAACGCCCGCGACTAGTACGATCCAAAATGTTTTCTTCCGCAGGCCACATATTGTTTGCGGTGCCGACTCGTCGTGCGCAGGCGTGATGCTACCATATGCGATCTTGTCTGTGTCTGTAGGGGCCACCGAGTAGTGCGCGTATTTGTGTGTATCCTGGTCAGTACCACCAGCGACTTCCGGATCGGTACTGGAAGCGACCTCCAAATCAGAATATGGAAGCGATGCCATCCTGAACAGGTCGCGAAGAGGAGATAAGCGTAAATTTCGGGCACGAGGTTGAAGGAGGCGATTCCGCTGATTCTGGGGGCGCGACGTTCTCGGGTGTTTATACTTTGAGACTACTGCGGCGGGCGTCGTACAGCCACAGTAAGCATTTGGGGGCCAGAAGTCTTTTTACAGCCACAAGTCATGGATGATAAGGGGTGAACTGTGGAACTGTAGTTCTGTCGTCTCGAGATCTACCTTGCTTAGATTGATGTTACTTCACCGACGAAGGACTAGATGAGGCCCTTTATGACCGAATGCCTTTTTGACTGACATACTTCAGCAGCATAACATCAACCAATCAAAACTACCGTCAACACACCTAGTCGGAATTCCTTCGCCTATGAAGCCTCCTTCCACAACACCTCGTCCTTCTTTTCCGCCGCTCTAGAAAGCTCGAAAGGAAGAACTCGGCTGTGACGACTTCCCCAAGGTCACACTTCCAGAAACATGGGCGGAAATACTTATTAGCTGAATCAAATGGCTCATTTCATTACTTCACCAACAGATGTCACGCATTTGGATAGCAGCGGCATCGAATCGAATGATCAGGCTGATCCCGCTGTCACGACTTGTGCTCCTTCCTCGCCTCACACTTCTCCGCCGACGTCCTCATCGACATCCTATTGGAAGCCTGCCTCTACTGCAAAATATACACACTCCATCTCGCTGAAGAACTTTACTATGTTTCACATCGGGAGTCGAAGCACACCGGTAGTGTGCTGGCCGTGGATGTGTTCGCTGAAGTGCCGAACAGGTAGAGAGAGGAGAAGAGGGAGTAGATAATCCGGGTTAGGTTGTCAGGTATATGCTGAGGAGTGTTAGAAGGGCTTTGATAGGCGGAAGGATGAGGATGGAGATAGTTTGTGGGAGTGGGGTTCAGATACCTAATTATGATCATGCTAGGGGGGGATGCTATAGCGGGATGGCTGAGTTCTGCTTTTGAGCTTGCGATCTCTGGGTTATATTTCAAACCAACAGGCTCTTTGAGGTATACATGGTCTCGTGGTGTGTAATCTCTGCTGAATATGCTGCAATGTATCCCTCAGGATACACTGTGATGCGGCGCTCATTTCGACAGATTCGGTAGCTCACTGCTCGACTACAGAACCCCTTTCACTTCTTATCCGCCCGTGCTTAGCGAGTTCACGCTGTTTAGCCGCGCAAATCCGGACTCGCGACCATAAACACGCTTGCTTCTCCACTCAACTCACAACACCCAGGTCAGTCAATAATATTATGTCCACTGACTCTCAGCTGGAGCCTCCTCGCAAGAAAGCTCGCTGCTCGGCAGACGAGGGACCTAGGTAAGCAACCGCGGGCCTATCTCATGAGATATACGCTAAAGATCACAGTGTCGAATCAAAACCGATTGTCGTGCGCGTTGGTGAAACCAAACAGGAGTTCTACGTCCACAAATCACTGCTCCGCGCAAACTCACGGTTCTTCGACAACGCGCTCAAGAAAGAGTGGAAAGAGGGACAGGAGGATGCAGTTGACCTACCGGTTCACGATCCAGACCTTTTCAAGACATGGGTCAAGTTTCTCTACACTGGACGAGTCTTCGTTGGAGGGGCTGAAAACCTGATGGACAACGAGCGGAAACACTATCCAGAGCTTTGGGCATGGGAAGGCCTCTATGATCTCGGCGTTTATCTCGATGACAGTGACTTCCGAGACGCTTTGATCGACGCTATGATCGACTGGATGTGTGCTTCATGCAAGGTTCCCATGAAATTTGCCCGCTGCGTCTATCCACTTACAGCGGAGTCCTCAGCCCACCGAAAACTTGGGGTTGACGCCTTCGTCAACATCGGCCGGCGGGTTCCAGTAGCAAATATGAAGTCTTTCCCACCCGATTTCATGCGCGATATCCTGCGCGAAATCATGCCAAACCTTCGCGAGGGCCTCGAATGGTCATCTGCAGTGGACTGGTTCAAGGATATGGACAGCTGCCATTACCACGATCACGGAGACAAGCCTTGCTACAAAACCAAGCCCAGGTTTCGGTACTGAAAGCTTTTGTTGCTTTCAAGCCCAGGTAGCGATAATGAGTCAAATGTACGAAGCTTGTTTTCCCTGTATACGTAGGTAGCCCAACTTACTTCATGTACGAGATGCTGACACGCTTTAACAGTACCTGCGTATCCTGCATCACATGACTCAATCCTCGATTCCTCGGCGCCTAGTAGAAGACAAATGGTTTTGGAATTAGGATAACGACATCAGAAGTTCGGGTGCTAATGCCTTTTGCAGCATACATTGGCGTCAAGGCCTGTCATACGTCGGCGTTTGTACCACCGTAGTTGCCAGGCAGTACGATTATCATAATTCAGTACAACTTTACTGGATCTTTGCCTCTCTCTTATGCTGTCTACTATACATCCGCAACACTGTGATACCCGCTCACTCATACCTCAAGACGAATTTGCGATGGCGAGCACCATTACCTAATCGCATCTTCGCTGCCTTTACCTGTTGGTTCGGAGCTAGTCTACCACCATATAAGACGCTCCCTCTACCTTTAGACACTAACTTCCACCACCAACTCACTCCCGACGCTGCATCCTTCGTCATCAACATTCACGATGACAAGCAACACGAACACCCGAAAGCGAGGCAGCGACCAGTCAGAAAAGCTCCCTGATCCGAAGAAATTGAGGCGGGCCATGGCCGACAGACCCGGGTTAGCATGAGCTGGTTTATCATCGAGATACTTGACTGATCGATTACAGCCGCCTTCACAAGATGATCACAGTCCTCGTCGGACACGAGGAGGATTCATTTACCGTCGATAAGAGTTTTCTTCTCACTAGCTCCGAGTTCTTCAAGAAGACCCTGGAAACGTCGCCGAAGACCAACGGTCCAGAAGAAGTTGACCTGCCAGACGTCGAACCCCGAGCTTTTCAAATTTACCTTGGGTGGCTTGAAACCGGCTACTTCTACATCACAGAGGAAGATGACCTCGTCAATAATCTCATTGAGGATGACCCCGGTACTATCGACGATGACGAGTGTCGTAAGTGGAATGAGTGCTACACGCTTGGCCACGCCATACGGGACTGTAGCTTCCAGGACGCCTGTATCGATTGGATTCTAGAGAAGATGGTATTCGAAGATATGATCATGCTTCATGTACCTCTTGCGGTATATGCGATCTGTGATAAAATTCCAGCGCATCGACAGTTTGCCGTTGATGGCGTCGCTCACCTTTGGGATGATGACGATTTCGAAAACTTAGAAGACGAAAAATGGCCTCCTAAGTTCATCTTAGATCTCGCAAAGTACATGGGGTCAAATATGAGGCACAAAGACGTCGCGGATGAAGATTATGAGAAGTTCTTCGAGAACATCGGCTGCAAGTATCATGCGCATGTTGCTCTCAACAAGCCTTGCTACAAGAAGACACACCCTGCCTACAGGTGAGGTTGATAAGGCAGGTCAGTTACTTCTTTCTGTTATAATAAGAAATGCTGGCTGACATTCAGATCGCCAGCCTTGAGAAGCGGAAGACTGCTCCAGCGATTCGATCAACGACAGCATCTTACATTCGACTACTGCTCTACAATCATGGTTTTGCTTGAGGAAGAAAAGGGTTCATTGCTTGACACATGCAGACAACAAAAGTTTTTGCGAAGCGGTTAGTCATTTATGGTTTACAGCCGGTGCTGAAATTCTATGCGAGTCTTTCATGCCCGTTTGCGTTCTTGGTTCAGATTCATTAGTGCTATCATCAAGTAGATAGCTGCGCTGGCAGGCTACCTTTCGAAGAGAGCGGGTTGCAATAAAAAGGATTGACCCATCAAGCATGCGAACATCGTATATCTCATGATGGCACAAGAGATTGAAACGTGATGCGTGCGAAGTTATGTCCCCGGTAGACTCTACGCCGCAAATATACCCTTGAAATACCCCTCAACCCCCTTACACCCCTCCCCATCAACCTCATCAATATACCCAACATACTGATCCGGCCTCGCAACAACCACACACCCCCTCTCCCTATCAACCCCATACCCCTTATACGCATCCCCAAAGCCCTCAAACGGATTCGCATCATCCGCATACACGGAGTCGTAATCCCAGCCCGTCTTCGCATCGAACGGATGTAGGATATCCGGGAGGTCGCGTAGCAACTCTACTTCTTTCCACTTGGACGAGTGCAAAGTGAGAACCTCGATATTCTTACCGAGATGCGGCGCTAGTGCCGATGACGACTCGAGGGCCTGGCAGAAGGTCTTCAAACGGGTGCTCTGCTGAGCGTTCGCGACGTTGCCAGCGAAGACGATGATACGGAAGCGACCGTCGCTTTTAAGTTTCTGTTGGAACTCCCACGCGCGGCCGTCGGCTTGGTTGATGACTTGGTGGCTGGGGAAGCGCATACCAAGCTTGATCTGGGAAGAAAGCTCTTGCTTGCCGATGACGGGGGACGAGGAGGAGACGTCTGTGCCGTCGCCTTGGTCGGCGGCGGAGCCCGGTTTGCCGATTAGCATGCTCGTGCCGTAGTCAACTGAGAGACCGGTTGCGAAGAGTTGGCCTGGAGGGTGGTTAGCGAGGGAGTAGTCAGCGTGAAAGATGTTACGCACCTTTCAGGAAAGCGTTCTTGAACTCGTCCATGCTGACGCCTTCTTCGTCCATGACGTCCTTGGCTGGTCGACCGGAAAAGAGCCGGGAGAATTTGTGGTCGAATGCGATCAGGTCTTGCGCGATACGCCTGCGCTCAGATTGATACGTCTTAAGGATGGAGGGATGAGCGACGCCCTTCACAACCAAGCCTAGCTTCCAGCCTAGGTTGTACCCATCTTGCATCGAGACATTCATACCCTGACCAGCTTTCGGTGAGTGCGTATGCACTGCATCACCAGCCAGGAAGACACGGCTCTTGTGATCGAAGTTCTTGCCGACTCGCTGGCCGATCTGGTATGCCGTCCACCAGTCGCAATATTCGTACGTCAGTTTGTACGGTGCCATGATCTTTTGTGCTGCTGTGATAATGGTCTCCGGGGTGATCTTTGACCTGTCTGCTCGGCCACTGGCGTCGGGCTTGATCTCTGTGAGCTGGATGTAGAGACGGGCGATCTTGTTCTCACGCGGAATGATCATCATGGAGCCCGAGGACTCGCTGTGGATAGCGCAGCGTTTGCGAACATCCGGAAAGTCTGTGATGGGGATAATGTCCAAGACGCCCCAGATGTGATCGGTGGGCTCGCCTTCGAGCTCGAATCCTAGTTGCTTTCGAGTCCAGCTGTGAGCGCCGTCGCAGCCTACGACGTACTTCGCCTTGACAATCTCAGTGATGCCTTGCTTCTGCTGGCTGTTGGCGATAAGGTCTTCAGTGTCGTCTTCTGCCAGATTGCTCCTGAAAAGACCATCGTTGACTCCAGATCCTTTGCTTTGCGCTGGTTTGGCCTCGTCTTCCGTGAGATATCGGAGCTGGACTGTAACAGGATAGTTGTCGGACGAGTGGTCATCAACTCGATCCTCGGCGATATGTAGTGACTCCGGTAGCACTGCGCGCTCGACGCGTAGCGTATCCTTGGAGTGCTTCTTGATGTGATCGAGGAAGAACCTCTCAATCCGTCCCTGGTGGAGAACGATCTCCTTGAATCGTGAGAGACCGGGTGGTGTATCTGGAACTCCGTCGGAGCGGCGTATCACACCATCTTCGCCGGGGTTCTGCGGATGTTAGGAAAGCTGGTAGTTTTGTCGAATGTGACAACATACCCACATGCAAAACTGATGATTGGTCAGTAAGGTTTACTCAAGCCGAAATCGGTTGATGTGCATACCTCTATCAAGTGATTTGCTTCCTTCCAGGCTCTATCCGCGAAGCCAAAGCTATCAAAGATCTCCAGGCTGCGGAGCTGTAAACCATCTGCTTGTCCCGAGTAGATCTTTGTGCCGCGTTTATCCACAACACGAGCATTGATGCCACATCTTGCCATCCAAGCCGAGAGCATCAGCCTAAGTCTCGGTCAGTTTTGAACAATGCCCATTGTTGTGGTGATCGTTACCCTGCTGGACCAGCACCAACGATGAGACTTTGGACTCATTAGCTTCATGTTCGCATTGCTCGATATCGACAGACTAACACATCGCACTTCGACTCTGGGGACTCTGGAACCGTCATCTTGTAGTCTCTTTGCCGTTGTCGCTAGAGTTGGTTGTTCGCGTGTATATATCCCGCTCAAAGGTTTCCTTCGACGCAAGATTGGCTATACACAGCACGAACGTGGCTTTCATCTAATATAAGACGGCCTTACAAACGCTCCGTCCCGCGCACCCTAGCAATCTCACACTACGGCAATGCTGTTCGGCGTGTCGCACAGCCCACATCCCGGCGTTGTCGACGCGATCTGGTGCGTGGCTACCCCACATCACGCCAAGCCGATTTGGACCGTATGACGCATGGAACGGCGTCCTGAGTTCGTGATTCGCGCATCTCGGTGTGGGCCTGAAGGTAAGCGCAAAATCGTTTTGGGGTTTGTCAGACGTTTGTCAGGTGGATGAGGTTGAGGAGGAGTTGAAGATGTGGATGTGGATGCAGCCGTCCCGGGTGCGGCTGCGCTCCTCCCATCGTGCGTCCAAGGCGCAAGGACTGTGGGTCCTTGGTCATGCTTGGTAAACGAGAGCGTTGACAGTGGTTGGATTATGCGCACGATTAGTTAGCTACCTTGAGTAAATCGCTGTGCCCAGGTGGCACGGTTGAGTTTGCCCTGATCAAACCTCGACTTTTAAAAACACTCTGTCGCACCGGCGTAGTCGCCAACAAGATGCGCCCTGGAGCAAATTCTGGTATTGAAATGGGGTCATGACGTACATGCATCATAAGCGACGGCGACGTAGGTGTACGTCACCGGCGCTATGGCCTTGAGCCAGTCAATTTGTAAGAGCTGTACCATCCTACACTTGTAAGTTTCATTCGTCTTTGAGAAACCTCGGATTCAAATCAACATGTCCACAAACTACGACTTCAAAGCCGCTCTCGTGACCGGCGGAGGCGGCGGCATCGGGAAGGCCCTCGCGCAACAGTTTATAAAAGACGGGAAGAAAGTCATCATCGCCGGCCGCACAGAGTCAAAACTCCAAGAAGCCGCAAAAGAGATCGGTGCGGCAGCTTACTACGTGCTCGATACCGGAGATGTCAAATCTGTCCCAGCATTCATCAAGAAGCTGCTTTCCGAACATCCGGATCTGGACTGTCTCGTCAACAATGCCGGTGTGCAGCGACCGCTCGATGTCAACGAAATGGATCCAGAAGAATTTGGAAGCAAGGCCGATCAGGAAATCGACATCAACCAACGTGGACCAATGCATCTCACATTGCACCTGCTCTCACACTTCAAATCCAAACCAATGGCCCTCGTCGTCAACGTATCTTCCGTCCTCGGCTTCGTCCCATTCTCCCTCGTCAATCCCGTATACTGCGGTACCAAAGCATGGCTGCACTTCTGGTCGATGAATTTACGCGCTCAATTAAAAGATTCCAAGGTCAAGGTCCTTGAGATCGCGCCGCCGACCGTGGCCACAGACTTGCATCGTGAAAGGAAGGATCCGGATGACAATAAGAAGGAGAAGAACCAAGCTGCGTTGAGCGTAGAGGAGTTTACGGAGGAGACGATAGGGAAGTGGAAGAAGGGAGATGAGATGATTGCTGCGGGTCCTGCGAACAAGATCGTGGATACTTGGCAGGAGAATATGGGACCGATTTTCCAGAGTATGGCCAAATAACCATGACGCCCCCAACGAAACGATGGCTAGTTAATGAATAGATGCGTTGTTCTGAACTGATGATGCGCGCACGTTCGGGTCCGCTGTAACACTTACCGCAGGCGCGCCCGCGATCAGCTGCAAGCGGCTAGCGTGATGCCTGACATCTGGAACGCCAACCTCAGACGCGATGCCAGCCACCCGAGTTTCAAAAGCGCGTCGAAAAAGTAACTCAAGTCCTCTGACTCCAGAGCCCTATTCTAATCCGGGTGATGATCGTGATGATCGTAGTTGCCAGCAGGCGGGAACCAGTCTCATACACCCTGGCCGCCCGTTCTTTCTCCTGACCTACTAGTCGCGCTCAAATACCTTTTCCGCCGCCACCTCATACCAGCCCACCGACTCAAAGTCACACACGTCAAACATCCCGTCCCTGTAAACGCCGCAAAAATGGTGAAATACCACCCGCGACCTACAGCGCGCACCAGAGGATCAATGATAGCAGCAGACGCAGCACTAAACGCGCCACGCGCAAGCTGACCCGACGCGTACGCCGTGCTCGGTACTTCAGGAAACACATCCACGAGCAGTGCATTCGCAGTGTGACTTAGCAGAGTAGCCAGTGCGGAAACGAAGAATTCCAGTACAAGGGGGACAGCGGGGTGAGTGTGTTGTTGCACCGTCCATCCATAGCCTGTGACCAGTGCCGTCTCGATTAGAATCAATGGAACCATATTCCTGAACCGAGCGCGTTCGATCGGGAAATCCAGGATGTTTGCTGGGTCGACAATCTCGGCTTGACGCGCGTGGTGCGCGTAGTTTATGTCCATGAGTTTGCCGGCTATCGTCCCGCCGATTGTCATGCCAGCCAGCGCAGGTAGGAAGCTTAGTCCGATTTGTAGCTCGTTGTAGTTGTATAGGTCTTTGAAGATGACGGAATGGGCCACTTGGAAGGTATAGTAGATTCCGTAGGAGGAAGCGACCATCCAGAGAATCACAGCAGCGTCCGGATGACGGATCATTCGTATAGAGTTGAAGATCCTCGAGAACGTCTGGGAAGGCTTGGGCATCGCATTTCGCTCCGCAACAGTAGACGCCGCCTGACCACTACCCTTCCTTCCGAGAAGCGATATCCAAGTCCGCCAAACCCCCGTGGCAGGCCTCCCTCCACTCCCCACAACCCCCCTCGACGTCTCCGGCAGCACAAACCCCACAAGAAGAAGACACAAAATCGCGATCCCCAACAACGCCATAAAAACGCCCATATGCCCCGTCGACTTCATCGCCAACGCCCCACCAATAACCGGTCCAAACGCCGAAATCCCATTACAAGTCGACAACATCGGTCCCAACATCCCCCCTCTTTCCGACACCACAGCAACATCAGCCACAATCCCATACGCTATCGGCACCGTCGCCGAACCACCTATACTCTGAAACGCCCGCAGCGTAATCAACACCGGATAACTGTCCTTGTTCAACGCGAGACCCAGACTCGCGAGCGTGTATGTGGTAACGAGACCGAGTAGAATGGGTCGACGGCCATAGGAATCTGCCAGAGAACCAAAGATACCAGGGGATATGGCTTGGCAGATTGCGTAGACGGTCACGGTTAAGTTGATGGCTTGGATGGAGACGGAGAAGTGGGCGCTGAGGGTGGGGATGAGCGGGAAGTAGATTGTTGTTGTGAGGGTGGAGATTAGTTGGATTATGCCGAGGATGTAGGTTAGGTTGGTGCGGGTGGATTGTGGGAAGGCGGAGTAGGGCTCTGCTGCGTTGTTTGGAGTTGGCTGGTTGGTCTTGGGTGCTGTGGTCTTTTTGGATGGGTTAATTGGTGGTGCGGTGTCTTGCACTGGTATTATTTCTGGTGATGGCGGCATGGTGAGCGGTGAGTATAGAGGAGTCCTCTACATCTCGAACTGTGGGCACGCGATATGTTACTATATGAAGAGATGTCGAGCATGCAGTCCGGGGATAAAGCCTCGCTTACTCGACATGGAGCCGTGCTACCCGAGACGCCCGGTTCAATCATCATACATGATTGGAAGAGTAGAACCGTCCGGAGGAGAGTCGTCCGACTTGGCCTGCGCCCTACGTCGTCATTTCCCCCAAGCTCAGTAAAATCCATGTGCTCAGATTAGAAGCATTCATCCCGGCCGCGGAATCCTTCCAACTGCTCACGGCCATCACGACCGTCTCGAAACAGCAGGTCGATCAAGACGACCCGCAAAATAACTCACGACATCAACACCGCAGCAGAAACCTACTGTCACCAAACCCATGCTCAATTGTAAGAGATCAGTCGATATCCAACCCCTCCCTCAGAACCCTTACCCTCCTCTCCAACTCCTCCGTATCCCAAGCCCTACCCTCAACCCATTCCTTCACCTCCGCTACCATCTCCCACCACTCTCCCTGTTCACTCGTATGACCCTTTTCTTTCGCTTCGTTCAACACGCGCCGCGCTTCACGCACAACGTGCCAAAAACGGTGTACCGTGTCTGCATCAGGGAACATCAGACTGCTTCCTTCTTTTTCACCTGGTATAGTTTGGGTGTAGTGGACGGGGAGGAGACGATGCGCCAGCGTCAGATAGTAGGGCTGGTAGAAGAGAGACGAGGTACTATTATACCATTCACGGGGTTGATAGATTGCCTTTTCGAGATGGTATGGGCGGGATAGAATAGTTTGGAGGACTGTCGCTGCCACATTAAATTCCTCGTCTTCATCTCCGTTGTCTGGCAAGTTGTATATCATCTCCATGGCTTCAGTCAGGATACGCAGTGAGCCGCCGCTAACCCGAATGAAGAAGACCGCGGCACTTAGTTCTTCGCTTTCGGATTTCGTAGCGATGATCGAGAGGGTCTTGAATGTTTCGACATCCGTGATGGGTGGGAGGAAGTGGTGGAGTGGTATGTGTTGATTTGCGAGGATGACGGTAGGGTCGTGGTAGAGTATCCATTCTTTTTGATCTTCGATTGGGTTTTGAAGTTCGGTGATGATGAGAGACTGGAGGTAGAGGAATTTGGTCAAAGCGCCTCGCACGATAGGTGTTTGGAGAATGTGGCTTGTGTATCTGAAGTTTTGGGTGTGGAGTTTGTCGAGGGCGAGATTGTCTCTATCATGTTGCCTGAAGTTGTATAATATGGTCGCTTTTGAGATGCGCAGGTCTGCTTGCAATCTTTTAGGAGTCCAGGGTATGGATTCGGGTATAGCGTTGGCGAGATTTGGGGTAGCAGGTGTATCCGATGGGACAAGGTTGAAGATTGAGCAACCAAACAATATATGCAGGCTGATGAAAAGCAGTATGCTTCCGATCAGTAGCCGAGTCTTGTTGCAGTAGAGGCGCAGTAATACAGGAGGCGATGGCATGTTTGTAGTCTCGATGCCTAATAATTTAACATCGGGAGAGAATGCGAAGCCCATAGTGTGGAGAGATAACCCGATAACAGTCGTCACAATCAGCAGAAATTGACATTTCACTATTAGTGAAGGTGAGTACATCAACACGAGCTCATCCCGTCACCGTAAATGCATTTAGACTAGTGCGCCGTGTAGTGAAAGAAGGAAATTTATTCATTCAATTTCGTAAGCAATTTTCGCGGTCCAGTCTCGCTGATACCGGTCCTGCAAACGCAGCACTTGAACTACCTAGGTAGGTAAGAGAGCAACTAACAAAAGCCTCTCAGGGTATACATATTCCGCGCATCGTCGCTCTGCTGCAGAGAGGGCGAGCCATCACTCTAGAGTATCTTACTCTGCCTTCTTCTCCTCAGCAGCCTTCGCCTCTTCAGCTTTCTTCGCCTCTTCCTCAGCCTTCTTATCCGCCTCGTCCTGGGCCTTAGCCTCCTCATCCGCCTTCTTCTGCTCCTCAGCATCCTTCTTAGCAGCCTCTTCCTCTGCCTTCTTCGCATCTTCAGCCTCCTTCTTCGCGGCCTCCTCCTCAGCCTTCTTCTCCTGCTCAGCCTCCTGCTTAGCAGCCTCATCAGCCTTCTTCTGCTCCTCTTCCTGCTTCTTAGCCTCCTCAGCGTCGGCCTTGGCAGCTTCCTCCTCAGCCTTCTTCTGCTCTTCCTCTTGCTTCTTAGCCTCCTCTTCCGCCTTCTTGGCCTCCTCCTCAGCGGCGTTGTCGTCGGCGTTGTCCTCGCCATCCTTGTTGTCGTCCTGGCCGTCTTGACCCTCAAGAAGCGCCTTCAACTCCTCAGCAGCAATCTGCTCGTTGAGCTTGTTGTCCGCCTCGTCGTTCTGCGCATCCTGAAGGTCCTGAAGAGCACCCTGCCAGATAGCACCGAGAGTCGCAGCTGGGTCCTCAGCAACAGCAGACCAAGTGGGCTTCGCACCGAAGAGCTGGATACCCGCTGTCTTGGTGGGCATTGCGCCGTCCAACGCGCCAGTCGCGCCTGCGATACCGCCGAAGCCACCGAGCTTGCCGAAGGCGTCGCCGCCGAGAATGTCCTGGGCGATCAGCGTGCGGCTGTCGAAGACCATGACAGTCTGTGTCTCGCGGGCGCCGCGGTTAGCGACGACGGCGGACTGAGCAAAGATGTTCTGCTGGACTTGGTTGCCGCGGCCGTCGTCGATGGCGATCTGGATCTCCTGCACAACAAGGGTAACAGTGGCGACATCGCGGAACTGGTTCTGGAAGTTGCTCTTGCGGAAGAGGTTGTTGAGGTCGTTGTTGAAGCCGTTGTTGACCTGGTCGACGATGAGGACTTGCTCCACTTGCTGGACGACGGCTTGTTGGCGCCCGTTGTCGATGATCTGGAGGTTCTCTTGCTGGATCTGGATTACTTGTTGTTGCTGGTTGAAGTTGTTGAAGCCGTCGATGAAGTTGAAGGCGCCGTCGTTGCCGTTGAAGCCGTTGACGACGGAGTTGAAGCCGATTTGGCGCTTGGCAGGGGTGTTGATGGGCTTTGCGGCTGTGAGGGTGGATTAGTATGTTGCGTCATATGATTGAGTGTTTGGTTTGGAGAACTTACCAGCGAGACCAGCCGCAAGCGCGATAGTAGCAATAGCCTTGATAGACATGTTGATGATGAAGTAGTCCTGAAAGGGTAAAGACGGTAGTATCGTGATTAAAAAGAAGGTAAAGATTAAACGTCACAGACGTATGTGTATAAAAGGTTCAAAGAAAGTGGTAATAAGCAGACTATCAAAGTCGCTAAAAGAATCGAAAGCGGGAATTAAGGAAGGAAGGACTGAAGAAGGCCGGAAGAAGAGTGAGTGTGGGATGAGAAGGTAAACTCATGCGTCCTTCCTTCAGCTTTTATCCAACCACTGCCATTGACAAAACGACGTCGTTAATGCCCAGGGAACACATCGATATGTCGGTACTTGCCTTTGCCGCCCCTGTATTGCCGTAGAGATGTGACACACGTACCATCGTAGCCTTGGGTGCCTCAGTAACTCGCCACTGGCACACTTTGCTACCGGCGCACTCCACTCCCGTATCTTGCCAAGACAGATGATGTGCACTAAAACGGTTGCCAAGATTTGCTTGACTGTTTTGTCCTGATTGCCTTGCGACCTGAGGCCTTGTTGTATGAGCCTTGGTTTAGCGGAGCCGTGGTATCCGATCGGGAGCCAAGGCTGGGGTTGCTGCTTCATGCCTTAGCGACGTCCTCAGGCAATATTGTCGGCGATTTTCCGTTACATTGGGCAGGGGCAGGGGACGCTGATCTGCGTGAGACGAGACTGTGCTTCCACCCGCTGCATCCGTCTCGTGGGACGACTTCAATCGGATATTCAGAGTCATCACATACCCAACCACCCGAAGTACCACTCAAATTCATTGCAATCGGATCATCACGAGACCAACGCACCCACAAGAAGAGAGATGAATTCCACCACCTCCCCTCCGCCTCCCCCACCCACCCTGTCGCTGCTTCATGCCTTAGCGACGTCCTCAGGCAGTATTTTCGGTGATTTTCAGTTACGCTGGGCAGGGGAAGGGCATGCCGATCTTTGTTAGACGGGATTGATCTGCGTCGAGATAGGACTGTGCTGCGTGTGGAGATGGAAAGGATGCTTGGTGGTTGTGCGCGTACACACGAACGGTTGTCGTAAGACCACCATGCGATACCCAAGCTACCGTCATACTTGCTCTTCTTGTCGATAAGAAATCTATCCTTCGTGTTCATGCTCCTCACGTACTGTTCATGCCGATAGAAACGCTTCCCTTTGTGCTGATACCCACGAGTCGATGTTACCGCACCACTACCACCCCCATATGCACCCCTAACCCCCCAATCACAATCACCTATATCACTACTCTTACTATTTTGCCCTGACTCTGCCATAGCTGTCACATCGCTACTTCCCGTTTGAAGGTGTCGACTCTGTCGAGGTGATGAGTGAACAACCACACGCTGCGACGCACCTGAAACCCCACCAGTTGAGGACCGCACCAGCCACGTTGCAGATCCCCGACAAGCGATATCGTATATGCATTAAGGTCAGGCCAGGTGTTCGTCTTTTTCTCGGATGCCTTGTCTTCCTGAGGCTAACGTGCTTGATCGACGGTAACAGGCCAGGGAGATTGTTCTTAGCTCAGGCTTGGTCGCTGGTCGGAGAAATCTTGACTCCCTGTCGTGCCTGTCTATATTTAGTAGAGTTGCTCAACTTCCTCATCACAGGCAGGGATGGATGGGTAGATGAAGAAGAAGAAGTGTCGTATCGAAAGGTTACTCAACGTCAATTTCTGACCTGGATATCTACACACATACGCATCAATACTCCTGATAACCCTCCACTACACTTATGTAGTAATCGCGCTCCTCGTTCTTCCTCTCCAATAAACCGAGTCTTTGCAATCCATGTGACCAAAAGACGCTCACAGCAATCGAAATTCGAGAAAGCGAATCCCTCATTCCAACTTTCAAAA